GGCTTTAAAGTTATTGTGAAACTGCCTATTCTAGAGGTGGCGTGAATCAGACGTGGATACTAAAAAATTCTTAAGATCTTTTAAAGCACATACAATCTAAGACTCTTTCATCTTTCAACAGTATTAAAACATTTAACTTTTGTACACTTTACACAAGTATTCCCCATTCCAAAGTAAAAGACAAATTGAAAGAGTTGGTATTGCTTTGATTCATAAAAAAGAATGGCCAACGTAGATACAAGCATCTTGTCTTAGGGAGGGATAAATCCTACTTTGTAAAAATCACTCTGATTCAAACGAAAAATTCTCTGAAACTGACATTATCAAGATGCTTGATTTCTTGATTGACAACATATTTGTTACGTTTGAAGGACGTGTTTTTCAACAAACTATCGTCATTCCCATGGGAACTAACTGTGCCCCTCTTCTTGCCGACTTGTTCCTTTATTTTTATGAGGCTGACTTCATACAGGAACTTCTTAGGAAGAAAGGAAAGAAGTTAGCAGTATCCTTTAACTTTACTTTCCGCTATAATGATGATGTTCTCTTACTAAATAATTCAAAATTTGGTGACTATGTTAAACGCATCTATCCCATCAAACTAGAGATAAAGGATACAATAGATACGGTTAAGTCTGCCTCATATCTTGACTTACACCTAGAAATTGATAATGAGGGTCGGTTGAAAACAAAACTTTACGATAAAAGAGATGATTTCAGCTTCCCAATTGTGAACTTTCCATTTCTATGTAGCAACATTCCCGCAGCGCCTGCATACGGAGTATATATCTCCCAATTGATACGATACTCCCGGACTTGTATTTCCTATCATGATTTTCTTGATAGAGGGTTGCTGCTCACAAGGAAACTATTAAACCAAGAGTTTCAAATGGTGAAGTTGAAATCATCCTTTCGTAAATTTTACGGACGCCACCACGAAGTTTGTTGACCGTTATGGAATATCCGTTTTACAGATGATAGCGGATATGTTCCTAATGTCGTAACTACAATCCCGTTCCCTTTTCACGAACGTGACCTACCGAATTAGACTATTTACCGGGTTTGTACTTACATGAGCAACACGATGGGTGCCACATGTGGAGTAGTATCTGCTTACCCTTCCGGAGCACTTGAGATCACCCCCCCCCTAATAGGTCACCATACGGCCTTCAACAATGAGCAAAACCCATACAACACAGTCAGCTAAAAAAGGCTTGTAAAAAATGTAAAACAATTCAAACAAAATAGTAACGGCCTGGTTTATGAACAAAACAATGAACGAAAAACAAATATGATATACAGCAACATACGACAACCACTGAACAACAGACTCATACAGAATGTGGCGGGACTAAACTAGTTTTTTGGTGCCAAATTCTCCCCCTTACCTGGAGCAGTGGTGTAACAGTTCAACATAAGAACAAACTATAAAAATCAGTTGAAAAGGGCTTCACTCATCAGATTGATACAAAGACGAAACCATCTTACAAAAACACAGACCGGACGTGGCAGGGTATTTTTACATCCCCACTTGAACATGATTTATCGTCATATTATTTATGTTCATAAAATAAGAATATTTTGTATGATTGTCAATGAGACAACTATCCAACAGAGTACAAATGGTGCGAATATAGCAATTATAGTTCACCGTAGAACCTTCCCTAATGAGCAAAACATATACCGTATAGTCAGCTATAAACGGCCCCGACATCACTAAATCGAAACAATTTAAAAAAAATAAACCAACGGCCTTATATGATAAACAGTAATCAATGACAACAACTGAATTCCATGCGCCTGACTTCTAAATAAAGGACTGTAGAATATGGCGTGGTTAAACATATTTGTTCTGTAGTTGCTAACATCAACGTCATTTGGTCTCAGGTTAATAGCTGGCAGTCTCATTGGTAATCATGCCACATCTTTTATATTTTGAATGCACACCCCCTGCTTAAATTCAAACATTAAACTTTGACAGTGATTTCACAGCACAACAAAAGACCATAAGCAAATGCATAAAAATTTGTTATCCTACTGTTATACTATGAAAGGAGAAGGGTCGTATATTCGTCCATAAAACAAAAAATAACAATTAATCAAATGCCGTGAAGGTAAGGAAATGATTGTACCAATTCAGGAATATGACAATTGTTCTCCATTCGTTTGATGCGTTCGAGTTTTTGATTTTGCCATTTGATAAAGGACTTTCCGTTTTGAATTTTCCTTGGAGTTCGGTATTTTTGTTATTTTACTTTTTAAACAATATAGAAATGGTTATATAATGTATGAGGAGGTTTAGTTGAGCTGACAAAATATTAAAAATCTTCTATTAACAACGCGCGTTTTGTCTACAAATTACTGACCAGTGACGTGCAATTCAAAAAAGTTTAAAAGGCCAATTATAGTACGAAGTAGAAAAGCATTGAATGACATCTGGCCAATCTACATAGGTAAAGGAGAGGTGTCCGAACGTAAAATAAGGTTAACTCTACCCTGTTATGTGTCTGAACTAAGTCTTGCTATCTATCTACATAGGTAAAGGAGAGGTGTCCGAACGGAAAATTAGGTTAACTCTACCCTGTTATGCGCCTGAACAAAGTCTTGCTATCTATCTTGACCGTGTGTTGTTTGTTGTTGTATGCATGTCTGTTATTTTTTCGGAGAAGTCAGGTGTTGGTAGGTTATTGTGGTGTGTTGTGTTGTCCATTATTTTTAGACTTTTTGTGTATTATTTCAATTTTAATAGGTACGCATTGAATATTTTATTTATTCGTATGAAAATTGTAACCAGATTCTGAAATAAACAGAGTAAATCATTTCATATCACAAACTTTTTTTAGTTTATTCTGTTCTTTAATATATGAGACTTTTTGTAAAGGCAACTTATTAATTTCTATCTGTATTTTACCTGTCCATTTACCTTATTCCGTATATGGCAAATATTTACGATTTACATTTAAGTAATTGCCATTAAAAAAAATTTAAATGGATACAGGAACTACAAATTATTATTTGGTTTTTTTTTTTGAATGACTTTAACCTTAGTACTATAGACCTACTTATCAATCAATATAACATTGTTTATTTATGAGTAAATATGTAACTATATTTAAACCACAATAACCGGGATGTTTGGACGAGGTTTTTTTTTTTATTTACAGACTGTTATCAGTATCTGTCCTTATTATAAGACATACATAATCTTTTCAAATCAGCAAAAGACCAGTTTGACAGTTTATTGAATTATTATTTAGTAAAATTATTCAATTTGAGAAAATGTTTGTACTTTTAATATTCATCCCACTATAATGTATGTTGGGAATACATAATCATGAACGATATTTGAACGCCAGGTCATTCAGTTATTTATAAAAACAGCTTCACTCGCTGCTTTCCAAATGTCGGTAAATTTTCAGTTATGGGAAATTTTTATTATTTCAAAATATTTGCTTATTAATGCATAACATTTAATTGAATTTCAAAACTTTAGCATCCTGCATTCTGTCAAAAGTACAGGCAATACAACCAATCCTAATATTAAAATAATTAGTCGTCGTTTTTAATATAATGTCTTTTTAACAAAATGAACGTTGTTAAATAATAATAATAATTATAATAATAATAATAATAATAATAAAAATAATAGTAATAATGATGATGATGATGATGATGATGATGAGATGATGATGATGATGATGATGATGATGATGACGATGATGATGGAACCAAAATTTCGAAAGGTTTTTGCAAAATACTGATAAGTAATCTATTCCTAAGGTAAAAAATTATTATTATGTCGAAAAATACTTTTTAAACAGTTATTTTTTTAATTATGACCATAGCAATGCTAATTCATGTCAACACCGAATCTTAAATTGATATTCAGGACGAATTAGCTGTGTACTAGACAAACACGATAAGCTAGATTTTGTACTTTCTAGTTCACAGGGTGACAGTCCAAAGCGTGTTCAGAGGAGAAGTTGCAAATACTAATTTTCAAGTCTTTTACAACCTCCCGTACTCGAGCCAACATTTAGAACCTCCCGTACCCAAGCCAACAATTTACCACAAGACCATTGAGGAAGTTGTACGTCGTGTAAGATTAAAATCGAAAATCAGTGAAAACGGTATTTGTATGAAAAGTTTGATATTGAAAAAAGAAATGTAAGGACAAAATCAATGATATAACTCTTACACATATAATGGAAGGCAAATACTAATAAAAACAGGCATACATACAAGTGTATAGATGACACCATGTCGACATATAGACAAAGGCTAATCTAACAATAATACATACACTATTGTGTTCATGGTTAAAGATCAATCAACAACAACAATGATCAGATCAAGTACAAATAAAGGCGTACTGTACCTGTTTCAACAGTATCACTGCATTTTGTTTTGTGAACATTCATTCCATATCCTTTCGTTTCCAATCAAAATCGTCAAAATCATAACAAAATAAAGTTATGATAGATGGGAGCAATTAAAGATCGAACGTTGAATGGCATGCAATATCATGGCCAACAGAAAGAAAACAAAACACATAAAAATGATGATGTAGCAACAAAAATCGAACAAAAGTGGTTGTGAGTTTACGTATTTTGAAAAGGTATGCAGTTGTTTGTACACATGTGACATATATGATTTTGATCATGGCAAATAAACTTCATTTTAAATGACAATGGAAAATATCTATTGTCATATGTAATGCAACTATTCCTTAACGGTCAACCAAGTTTGAATGAAGTATTTGCAACTTTCGTAGATATTACTTTGACATTACCACTTAAAAACTTTCAATTCGGGAGTGTCCTTTAGCTGTAATTAACTAAAGACATACGGCTAAAAGACAAATTTGAGTACATACGCAACTTTCCTGTTATCTCATTCATTTGAATAATATGTGATTCATTAAAACAAAATTGAAATGAAAATGATTAAGAATAGTACATGTATTTGATACAATTTCAGCAGTTTAAACATAACCAAAAGACTTTGCGATTCCATTTAATGTTTTTTTTTAAATGTTTGTACATATGTTGTGGACGAAGTTTTAAAATGTTCTAATATATACATGCATATTAACCATAAAACAGCAATTGCCTCAAACAGACTGGAAAAGAAATCAAGATTGTGTCCATTGCAATCAACTCTTGTCGTCCAAAATACTGTACTAAGAAATATGAACTTGATATTGTCTCAAATGATTTTCTTATGTTAATACACACTGAATTTTATTTCCTGTTAGAATAATTAAATAAATCTTTGTTACATTTTAGATTGAAAGGTAAAACGGTTTAATCTACATGGACTTATATCGTACGATGGGGTCTCTCCAAGGGCTAATTCTGCTAATACTTTACCGACAACTGGTCCAAGTTTAAATCCATGACCTGAAATATATGAATTATAGTCTATATAACACCTGATATTACATGTCCTAGAATGGTTATGGTACACGCAAAAAATATCAATTTGTGACTACGTAAAATTATAGACTCGAAATCCATGGTCGTTGTAATTACCCCATCTTGAAACAAATACAAATTTCAATTTGACTTCTGAAAATCTGTTTCACAGATGACCACGTACATGTTCCTATTGTCGTAACCATAATCCCGTACTTTTTTCCTCGAATGTAACATCACAGAATGATTATTCTCGCCGAATTTGTACTTATATGAGCAACACGACGTGTGCCACGTTTGACGCAGAACCGGCGTACTCTTCCGGAATGTGTTCGTTTTTTTCGTCGTTTTTTTTTTGTTTTTTGCCATGGTGTTATTAGTTTTTTTCTCGACCTATGAGTTTTGAATGACCTCTTGGTGTCTTCTGTCTCTTAACTAAATACATGTCATTTTCAAAACACTAAATGTTAAAACTAAATTCTAAAATTGCATAATTTATATAAATTACAAACTGTAGATAAGAGGCACTTCTATTGAAAAGATTTACAAGAATGATAAGTTATATGAAAATCAAGATAAGTGATGATGGCCTCAATATTTCGATGTCAACTTTTAGAGGGGTCAATCAACTTTTATCTTCATGTTTTATAATGTTAGGACAAACACACATACACAAGCAATGACTTTGACAGACCAATTGGAATGATATATGTTTTGATTACATCGGTATTATTTCAGTTTCAGATATATGAATGATGTTCTGACCAGGGGCGTTTCTATGATATTTGAAAGGGGGCGTAGAATGAAATGTTGTGCCGAGCGAAGCGAGGCGAAAATTTTTTCTGACCTTTTTTTCCTAAAAAACATAAATATTTGTGAAATATGATAAATTGCCATATTCAATACAATATTACAATATTAGCAGATTACGAGTTTTTTTTTAAAGGGGGGGCGTACGCCCATTACGCCCTCACCTGGACCCGCCCCTGCTGACACTCAATAACCCTAATTTCAATGATGAGTGCTTACATGTTATATATCCTAGTGAACTTGAGAAGTATACTACCAAAAGTAGAAGGTATGTTTTTCATATAGTGATTGTTTTAGAATATATGACAAAAGTGATCATTTTAACTTTCCATTTGTCAACTATCTATTTCTCAGCTGTAACATACCCTCTGCTCCATTATATAGCGTTTACATTTATCAGTTAATACATTACGTTCATGCTTGTTCACACAATATGGACTTCATAAACAGTGGAGTGTTCCCTACACATGAGCTGCTCAGAGTTATGAGGGAAAAAGTATAACAACAAAAAAACGAACTCCAAGGTAAATTCAAAAAGGGGAAGTCCAAAAAACAAACTGACAAATTAAACGTTATCAACCAACGGAAAGAGTGGAAAACAACTTTCATATTCCAGACATGGTAAAGGCATTTTTCGAACAAAATTATGAGTATACGACTGAAATCGAAACATAAGTTTTACGATCACCATCACGAATTGGCTGACCAAAATAATTTGTCGGTGTCTCAACTGACTAGCTACATGTTTTTGAACTTAGTTCTGTAGATACCAATATAGTCAATTTGCAGTTTTATCGATTGTGTCCTATTTCCGATTGTGTAAATTTGCATGGCGGGTTATGAATGCATAGCAAGAGACGCCTAACATGTAGACCCACCCGGTCTCGCTTCTTTTGCCATTCAGTCGGTTTTTGTTTGTTATTTGAATTTGTCTGTTCCTAATCGATTTACTAGATTTGAACATCGGTAAACTACTGTCGCCTTAATTCAGAAAGCGAAATATATGCCAATTTGGCATTCGCTCTTATTATGATAGTGTGTCCAATTACCAGAAAAGCCTACTCCAATGATTATATTTGACCACTTTGGATGTTTGTCTAATACAAAATCTTCATCAGGTACCATCTGAAATGGAAACTATCATATAATATTTTGGAGTATCACAAAGTTAAATATATCATTATTAGTTATCTGACATGAAAATGACATTCTATTCCATGATTTCAGTTCAATCCAAATGAACATTAAACACCCTATATGGTTTTTATAACATTTATAACGTGGTTTCAGAGTAAAAAATTGTTAAATGACAACAAGAAGGAAATAAAGAAGAAACACGTCACCAGTACTTTGGGTATAAGGTTTTTTTTTTCTTTTTTAACCTATTACCGTGTATATGCATGGTTCCACTATGCTTGGTTCTGAATGGAGATTAGGAAAATGGTCAGCAACATATTTCTTGATTTTGGATATAACCCATTGATCATTTACAAAATCTCTGTCGTTTGGGTCGACATCTGGACCCCATCCCAAACACATCTGAAAGAGAATGAAACAATGTTTATAGTAACCATACTTTACATGAGTGACTCTATACAAACAGAACTGCTATGCGCTGTATAGTGAAGTGTTTAAAATTGTCAATCTAGGAACGAGGCTAATACTTATTTCTTATAGTAGACTTCTTTTGAAAGGATGAACCCTGACGCCAGACGAGGGCAGTGCGTTGAAATAATTTGAATAATAATTATTAAGTATTTTCATACCCATGGAGATAGAGTTTACTCTTCGAAGCTCCTAAGTTTTGTATGAGGATTATGTTGCTAACACGTTGGTTGTATATGTATTGTTTTGTCTGACGATAACTGCTTACATATTTCCTTACCTTTTTTCAAAATTGCAGATCTTAATTTTACGATAAATCTGAGGTTTCAAGATAACAATTCAAAGATTCACTATACTACAATCATTTTATATTCTCCTATTTGATGATTACCTTGACATAACCAGGATATTCCATACTAGGTAAACCGTATACACTGTATTTTCCATCAATAGCTTCACTCTCATAAAACGTTGGGAATTTGCCTAATCCGTATTCTCCTGGATTTTTCTCTTTCCAGTAACATACGTTTATTCTTATTGGCTGTAAAACAATTTCTAAAGATTATGGACAACAAATCATTTCGTTTTAGAAATTTTGAAATGCTTCTTTTAAAATGAAGAACGAAAGACTTTCAATTTAGATTCATGTTGATTTTAATAGAAAAACAAAGGATATGGCGTATCCATTCATGACACAAAACCAGTACATGCACAGCAAAAAAACACACAAAAAGCAAAGGAACCGCGCTTTTATTGCTGTTCTTCATCTCAAAGTCACAGTGAGGCCTTCAACATTTTGTTTGAATATATTTTAATCCATTCGTAATGAATATTTGCCTCTAACATCATAAACTTACATTAGATAACCGGTTCTCTGAAAGTTTTTTAATCGCCTTAAACCTCTTCTAAATACGTTTTGCGCATTACCACATTAGAAATCAGTCTATGCTTATGTGACGTGCAAGGTTAAGTAACTCCTGCTTACAAGTGGTACCCTCATGACAATGATAACTTTGATTAAGAAGAACGGGATTATGTATTAGATAAATGAAACACATTTGTTTCATAAAAAAGAATGGCCAACGTAGATACAAGTATCTTGTTTTAGGGAGGGATAAATCCTACTTTGTTATAAATCACTCTGATTCAAACAAAAAATTCTCTGAAACTGACATAATCAAGATACTTGGACGTGTTTTTCAACAAACAATCGGCATTCCCATGGGAGTCATATGTGTTTCTCTTCTTGCCGACTTGTTCCTTTATTTTTATGAGGCTGACTTCATACAGGCACTCTTTAGGAAGAAAGAAAAGAAGTTAGCAGTATCTTTTAACTTTACTTTCCGCTATATAGATGATGTTCTCTCACACATTTTGGTGACTATGTTGAACGCATCTATCCCATCGAACTTGAGATAAAGGATACAACAAATACAGTTAAGTCTGCCTCATATCATACATCTAGAAATTGACAATGAGGGTCGGTTGAAAACAAAATTTTACAACAAAAGAGATGATTTCAGCTTCACAATTGTGAATTTTCCATTTCTATGTAATAACATTCCAGCAGCGCCTGCATACGGAGTATATATCTCCCAGTTGATACGATATTCTAGGGCTTGTATTTCCTATCATGATTTCCTTGATAGAGGGTTGCTGCTCACAAGGAAGCTATTAAACCAAGAGTTCCAAGTGATGAAGCTGAAATCATCCCTTCGTTAAATTTACGGACGCCATCACGAAGTTAGTTGACCGTTATGGAATATCCGTTTCACAGATGATAATGGATATGTTCCAATTGTCGTTACTACAATCCAGTCCCCTTTTCCCTGAATGTGACCTACCGAATTAGACTTGAAACCGGGTTTGTACTAACATGAACAGCACGACGGGTGCCACATATGGTGCAGGATCTGCTTACTCTTCCGGAGCACTCGAGATCACCCCCAGTTTTTGGTGGGGTTCATGTTGCTCTGTCTTTAGCTTTCTATGTTGAGTGTTGTGTACAATTGTTTGTCTGTTTGTCTGTTTGTCTGTTGGTCTTTTTCTTTTATAGCCATGGCGTTGTCAGTTTATTTTCGACTTATTAGTTTGAATGTCCCTTTGGTATTTTTCGCTATTTAACCAATATTTTCCTTGTAAAAAACCAGTCCTATGCCAAGGAAATCTTGATAGGAAAAAGGTCTGAAAGGGGTGTACCAACTGGGAGTGCAGATACCACTTAAAACTTGAATGTTGCTGCATTAACTGATCGATTCGAAAGCATCAAAACATGTATTCATTGTTTTAGTTCAATGGGTATATGCCAAAAATTAAAGTAGTGCGTTAATGTCCAATAAATTATTATTACGGAACTTATAAATAGACCCCGCACAAAAATTACTATAAATAATACTGATGTCATAGTACATGTCAAGACATTAAGCAACTTAGAACCAGGAGTCTGAGCAGGTAATAACTCCCTAAACATGTTTCCAATGAAGTAATTTCTTTACTCTTTTCTCTAAAAAGAAATCCTAACCTTCAATGGTATGTGTATCCCTAACGTTGGTAAGAGTTGTTTTGCCCATGGTCCGACAGTTAAGATAATACTTTTACATGTATACTGTCCTTTCGTCGTCTGTACAGTTATCACTGACCCAGGGATAATATTAGTTAGTGCTTCGTTGTCCTTCAATATGCCACCATTTTGTCTGAATATATCCTGTATGAAATGTGAAAGGTACACAATTTGTGCAATTTAAAATTTCTATGATCTATATAATCATTATTATTTATAAATCAACTCAAAATTTCGAATTATAAATATAGAAAAACTTATTTTCTGGTCAACTGCATTAATAGGTTAGTACAGGTAATATTAGTATTTTTACATATAATTATATCAATATGTATTTTTATATCTGTATTTCATGCATTGTACTTTGTTGTTCCATTTCATGATATCTCAGTGCTTTATTAGTCTTATTTGTTCCCTTTTTGTTTTTGTTTTTCTTAAGTGTCTGCTGATGTGCTTTCTTATTTTGTATTTTCCTTATCATTTTCTCATAAGCATACCTGAAAAGCTCGTAGCCCCTTATCAGCTAAGAGTATCCCAGCACATGTATCTAGAACAAACACATAATTCGTTGGAAATGTCATCCTAGGATATTTGTTCCCTATATCATTTTGGTTTGTAACTTCTACTGGTATTCCGTTTGTCTTTGAGAATTCTATAGTCCCATTTATAAATGTATTGTCTCTTGGACCAGTGCACAACATTCCAGTCTCACTTTAAAACACAAATAATTCATGTAAGAATTATATTAACGTAGTATTTCCTTTCATTTGGATCTAAAAAAAATTACTTTACTTAAATTTAAAAGGCCGCAATTAAAATTGACTTGCTAAAGATGAATTATAAAGATGCTGATTATATCATAAATTCGATAGGCAAAATCTTAAATTCCGCTGAAGTATTTATATGTTATTTCTTATACTTGTAAGTGACATGAATTTGAATAAAGATATATAATGTTTACGTCAATGAGACAGCTACCCAGCAGCACAAAAGACGTGTTGCAATATTGAAACATATTCTTTAAATAATTTTTAACACGTACTGATACAGTGTAGTGTTAGTTTCTTTTTCCAGAAGATTCCAGGAGTTATAAGCCTCCTCCATCATAATGGCATAGTGTTTATACACGCCATAAGCTTTCCTTGTGATTCGGGTCTGGCCATGTGAACTTCCACGATTATGTGGAATAGGAAACTGTAACAAAATTATAAAATTTTCAATTAATATCAATCATTAATGTTTTACAGCTAAAATGACAAAATGAACAGAAAAAAATCGAAGGATTACATAAAGCCTTCAACAATAGACAGATGCGTATACAGAATGCCAAGCCCAAAATTAACACGAGTATATAAAAGTGAATTAATTAAACAGAAACTATCACAGATCTGCCATCAACACTTTATTCTTCAAATAAAAGTAATATTAACAAAAACATTAATAAAAGAAATAGATAAAAACTGACGAAATTCTTCGCTTGAGACAAGCCCGTACATTTTTATGTGTGTGCAAGGACGTCTAGGAGTTAAACGTTGGGAAGCCAAAGATGTATAATTGCACGGGAGGCTGTATATCTAGATCTGAAAAAAGATGATACGAGACTACTAATAGCTCTCTTTTTTATTTATTATGAATAACTGAGATAAGGGGTATACGTTGATATACCAACAGCCGCATTACATATAAACTAAACCCATTTTTTTATCTACTGCAATGACTTCATGGGGAACTGTTCACATGCCTGTGGGTAGTGAGTGATGAAAGAATGCCAAAAAGACATGTATTTTTCATCAATAAGAAAACAAGTTATAAATAATTGAAGACGGGACGTATTGTCGGTTTACATTGTACGTTTAAAGATTTAAAATTTGTGGTTTTTTTCGTATTTGTTATTCAATGAAAATTTTTCTTTATATTCCCTACAAAATAAACAGAAAATCGAAATATAGCATATGATTTTTTAAGAAATATTGCCGTTTATAAATTTTGAAATTATAAAGAAACTAAGGTTTCAACTCCCTTAGGCAAAGTTGACCTCCGATCGATTTGGCTATTTTGTTAGGTCCTTTTTTGGTTATATACCTCTTCAACTGTTTCGGTTCTTATACATTCTTGGCTTTCGAATATTCGGCTGTGAGCGTTCCTGATGAAGGTAAATCCAAAAAAGCGCTTCGGAGGCATGAAATTAATAACGTGTTGTTTTCATTTTTCCCCATAGAAATCATCTCCCTTGAGCAGCTATTTTTATCTAACGGCTATTATATTCGCAAGCTTTCTATAGTAGCGAGTACGGTTTGACCCTGCTTTCTATTGAAATATCAGCCGTCTTTTACTGACTTTTCGATATATTGTCAGGATAGACAGCGGGGAGGGGTGCAGACTTAAAACTGCTTTAAATCCAACAATATTGTGTCTGTCTCACGTCAGGCTATCTGGACCATATGTTGTTTGTTGTTGTTTTCTTGTGTGTACGTCTCCTTTTTTCAGAGGTTTTTGGTTGTGTCGTATGTTGTTCTGTCCAAATACGTTTGATGATTCCTGTTATCCTTTTGGAGTTTTTTGTAAAATTTAATGTTTTGTGTAATAAGTGTACATAATTCTGCAAAACCTTACAATTGACATTCCATTTTGGTTTCTTAAAGTTTTGATTTGTAAAAGTTAAATAATTGAGATTTTGTAGCGCAAATCTGGGAACAGTATATCTAACGTTAATATATATGTTCCTGTGCAAATATAGGACATTTTGAAATAAAAAAAAAAAACAACACTTTATGCAATATAAGATATATAATTTTAAACTTTACCCTTCTCAGTTATGATTATCAACTAAATTGTACTTCAGAACATATAATGATTTGGAAAATGAGTTTTAAGAAATCTATAACGACTAAATGCACCAACATCCGTCAAACGAAACCGTTGTAACAAGTTATACCGTTCTTGATTTTTTTTTAAATTCGTGATTAAGAATATAGTAAATTTTCATGAATTGTAAAAATGTGTGATAACGAATAAAAATCGTACTAAAGATTGCCAAAGTTTGTGATAAGTAAATCTTCATATTCTTTATCACGAATACTTATCTTATTAAATTCTAATCCTTTTTGCATTTTAATCCGTGATCACTATTTTATAATTTCTTGATATCAAATTCAAACAATATATTTGGAAAGAGAGGCGAAAGATACCAAAGGGACATTGAAACATATAAGTCGAAAACAAACTGACAATGCCATGGCAAAAAACGAAAAACGGCCAAAAGATAAACAACAATGCACACTACACAACATAGAAAACTAAAGACTGAACACGGAACCCACAAAGGAGTTTCTAAATGGGCTTATGTGATATGTTTGATCTCATTCGTTATCTGTACATGAAAAGTAACAAAAATACCGAACTCCAAGGGATTACTGTTTTTAAGATCTTTCATTTGTTTATTTTTTGCAGATGTTTTTTTTTTTTCCGAAATACGTGCCCTTTTTTATACATATTTTACCTACATGTCCCAGACGGTCTCCGGTCAATATACTGTAGCACGCTAATATATAGTGTGTGTGCCATAGAGTGCTCCAATCTCCCGTAAAAATGGATCTTGGTTAGTTTGTGTTTTTGTTGGTTTTTTTGTCACTATTTATTGACGTTCATCCCGCATCTACGTTTATTGATATTTATTTAATTACCTGTTCCAGTAGTAATGTAGATTTACCTTTCTTGGCTAACTGGTATGAGGTTGCTGACCCTTCTATTCCAGCACCGACAACAATAACATCGTAATTATAGTCGCTGTTCATTTTAGTGTTCCATAAAATATATTGACATACAAGTACAGAATTAATACGTGTTTACGTACACCCGAATTCTCACAGGTTGTACACTACATATAAACGAGATAAACATTTTTGTATTACCACAGATGCATTACTGCCTGTACAGTTTTATCTTCCGGTAATCAGTTAACAAGTAATAGCTTTTCTAAAAAGCTTGTCGTATTTTAGCTGATTATATTGAGATCGGTGGTTTGTGGGTATAGGTATTTTATTGGAATCTTGCACTCCAAGCAATATGAATATATAGTGTTTTTATTTCTCCTGGATTTTGTTTTTAGTTGTAGTATTGGTGGATCAGGGTTATGATGGAAGGAGGCTTTTACAGTCACATATGATATAATCCAGACCTCCCTCTCAGTCGACATTTGAGATCCCCTGGACACACTAAGGCAGATCTCAATCGACTGACCATTACAGTCATAGACCACAACACTGCTTGGTCTAGGGAGGATAAACTCACTTGGGAAAGATTTTGGATAAGAAAATTTAAAACTTTGGCACCAAATGGGATAAATGAAAAGATGTAGTTCGAATTCGCGCAGTGCTTTACATTTGGGTTATATTATTATTACTACACAGTATCTGTTTCTATTTCTTTACCTTTGTCAACTCCTTAATTTTTTGTAATTATACCAGTTTAAATTTGCTTGGTTCTATTTATTTTGGATGTTTAAATACACAGCCTCTGCTGTAACTACTCTACTGTTGTCAAATTTGAAATATTATACCCGCGTAGATCAGGCAGTGCTGTTTATTGGAAATGTATTTCCACACTATCGTTATTGTAACATCTTAACTGTCGTCACCTGTGAAATTTTAGAATTGTACCAATTCATATCACACATTACTATTTTTATTTGAAGCATATCTTTGCAGTCTCTGTTGTAAATAGCTATATAACCTAAGTCATTTTTGAAATTTTAGAATTGTACAAGTGTCTCTATTATGTTCGGTTTTAACTGTTTTATTGTATAAATTTCAAGATTGTTATAGTTTAATCAGAATAGATTCATATGATTCATTTTACATCATAATCATACAGATGAAGGATATCTGTTATCCGAAATATTTATAGATAATTACATTTAATGTTTCCTTTTATTGTTCTTCCCTGGCCGGGATTCGAACTCATGCATATATATATATATAATAGCTAGAGTAGCAATACAAACACTTTTCCTTTGTTTTGAGAAATATGATTGTTTACTGTTTATGACAGTGCAAGTAGTTTTAAAATGCATACTGTGTCTTGACAGTTATGTAATAGTTTGTGAGGTTATAATCAACTTGATAAGAAAAACGTATTATTTACTTTTGAGGATTACTGCTTGACAAAATGGACTACTACAGTAGGCCGTTCAAATATGAGAATATTACATCTTATATGTATAGAAGTGATGAATATCTTTTCTGGTTTTTGTCTTACTTAAAAGAAGCAATTAGTTTTGACGGTACAGGTTAAGTGTTGTTATTACTCATTTACAGATGTAGTAATACTGTAAGATGTTTTGTGTAAATGGATTTGGAATGAAATATTAATTGCAAATCATTTTCTAGAACATGTTGTCAGCTGGCTTCTTATATCTTTTAATATATTACGTTGTGGTTTGTAATCTTGACAATTTTTGTGTAAGTTCTATAGATGAGAGCTTCATATTGGTATAAGCATTTAGTGCTTTATATTTGGTTGCATGTGTAAGCACATGCTTTTGTTATTTGGAATATTTATATTTTCATTTCTGATGGCAACCAGTTCATGTAATACATATAGTCAGGATTATTGGTAAGCGATAGTTGTTAGTTTTATTTGTTTATGTTTATTGTCATGATTGATATGGACTATATAGCTTGCTGTTTGATGTGAGCCAAGGCTCCGTGTTGAAGACCGTACTTCGACCTATAATGGTTAACTTTTACAAATTGTGACTTGGATGGAGAGTTGTCTTTGGTACTGATATGACATCCTGTTATATCTATCTACAAGATTGAGAACACATTTGTTTGTAATAAAACATATTTAATTCTATAATATCATATATAATAATTTATTGGTAATTTGTGCATTTTTCCTTTGATGTGTACTCTCTGATAATGTCAGTATCAGTTGACTGGACGTGATAGAAAAATTATTGGGTCAGTTCGCAATTGACATGCGTTGGTACACCGCGTACGGATCTTCATTCCCCTTTGTTGTTGTTGTGATAGAGGTTACTGACATAAAAAAAATTACTGAGAGAGAATAAATGAAAACTGCTTCAAATATAGTCAAATTGGATTTAAATGAACGTTTTGTTTTCATTATTTAATAACAACGGCTACATCAGGGATAAAGATATCAAGAATTGGCCATGGTTCTACCTTAAAAGTTGAAATTCGAATCCAGCATTTAACAGTGGTATCAATTATACTGTTCAGCTGTACCAATGTTTTTATTACGTTTTGGATTTTTCAAATATTTCAACCTCCAGCATCACTGAATTAAGACATTAATTGTCGAAATAGGCATCTGGTGCATACAAATGGGTACTGTTAATGTTATTATAAAGCTTTTTTTTTTGACATTTTGCTATCCCACTGATAGAAAGTAAATGGAAGAGAGGGTTGAGATCCAACAATAATTGGTTAAAATCCGTCTCATAATAATGTGTCTGTTCCACGTTAGAAACTTCGTCAGCAGTTGTCTTGTGTCTTACTTGTATATAGTGATGTTTTTCGTTATTTTTGTATTTGGTGTTAAAGGCAGATCTTTTTCGGTTGCTTTTTTATACATTCACAACTTTGATAGACTGTAATAGATTAAGAACTTGGTATATTGCATAAACATGTGTTTGATGAGCAGATAATATGATACTCTTCAAAGGTTCTTTTTTCTCTTTTTGTTATTGAGCTTCTGACGTACTATACTATGTCTAGTTTTGAAGACTGGTCTTTGTTTTTACCTTGTTTTTTTGGTTTTTGCTATGGTTCGGACAGTCTCATTTCCAATAAGGCGTTTTAATTGTTCCTTTTGTTTCTTTCTCCTTTTTTGTCTTCATTTTTCTTCTTATTCAATAATTTTAAATTAAAATGGAACAACATAAATCTGCCATCAATGTCAGATCCTTAAACAAAAAAAAAACCACTTAGATACAAGACGAGATTTCTACTTTTGGAGGGGCAAGCTATAACATTTTGTGCGGCAAAACTGCTTTTCTTTCCAGAGCCTTATTTTTCTAATAAACAATACAGGGAAATTTAATAAAAGTTAAAAAAAAACATTACTGAAGTATCGATATGATAATAGCCTTTAACACAAATGCAGAAGACATAGCCAATACTTAAATATTCAATATCAAAACAAGCTCACAATCACTGGAAACAAGTAGCTTAATCTGGTAGTAAAGAAACCATGACAAAAATAATAGAATTGAGAATGGACACGGGGAATGTGTCAAAGAGACAACAACCCGACCAAAGAGCAGAAATAGCCCAAGACCAGCAATGGGTCTTCAACGCAGCGATAGAATCCCCACCGGGAGTCGGCACATAAACAATAATGTATACTAGTTCAGAGAAATGGACGCCACACTAAACTCCGAAACATATACATGAACCAAAATTTTATAAAACACAAAAGACTAACAAAGGCTAGAGGTTCCTGACTTGGGACAGGCGTTTCTTAAGCATTTCTTGTCTGCTATTAACACTTGCTTGATTTAAAATGATATTGCATTAAAATACTTTTGTGTGTGAAATATCACTTTTTGTTTTTAGTTTCCGCAAAGCAAATCATTCTTCAACAATATAGTATAATATGACTGCTACATTGAGTAAATATTTTCACCCATTCAAAACATTTGTATTCTGAATCTTAAAGTTAATGGGTTTGAATGTCCCTTTTGTATCTTTCGCCTCTCCTTCTGAAAATATCTATAAAAAAGAATGAGAGAATATCAAGGGGACAATGAAAATCATAAGTCCAATAAAAACAACACCATGACCAAGAAGAAAAACGACGAAAAAATCAAGACAACCAACAATAACAAAACACTAAATAGCGAACTGTATATTAAGCAACACTAACCACGCCAAAAACCAGCTCCACTAGTGGCACCATATAGTGATATTTGTTGGGTTTAGCAAAAAACAGCAAAAAGATGGATCAAATTTACTGGGAATACAATTGAATGAATCAATAAAATCTGTATAGCACAAGCAAATATAATGATATAGCACACAAAAGTACAGTAAACACTTATGTGCATACAAACCCATCAAAGATATACCAGGCTTATAAGTTAGTACGCCAGACGTTCAATGTTACAGAGTTTAAATTACTTGTCTCAATAAAGTAAAGAGCGAAAATATACTGAAAACTATCCGGATGTAAAGATATCTTGTGAAGTATTGTATGTAAGAAGTTGAAACATGTTTTACAATACAATGAAATTAAGCTTTTGTTTTGGCTGTTAGGTAGGGAATTTTTGTTCTTTTTGTTCGCCAACGTTTTATATTTTTGACTTTCCAAACTAATGATTACGACTATATTTGAAGAATGAAATGTAAGAAACATGTAGTGTGTGTTTACGGAAATCATACTTTTACGTTATATATTCATATTCATATTGCAAATCGACCAGTAGTAATGATTTTGTCGTATATGACACTAGACTATGGTTTCTACAAAGGAAGAGGGGTAAAATGTTACATTTATTCATGAACGGAAGAAGGTAGTCAACTTTATAATGTATATCATTTATTATTGCAACAAAAATGGAATTAAGTATTGCATTTGAGATATATACATATATCTGTTAATGCTTTGCTAAAACATATTATTTTTTCTTTCGTCCGAATAAAAAGAATGAAATTCTATGGACTTTACAAGGAACCAAGATCCAAATTGAATGTAGGTGTGCTACTCGTTATAACCTTTAATTCTATATCTTATATATCAAATACAACACATTATAATTATAATCATCAGAATTGCAAATACAAATGCTCATTCAATTATGCATGAATAAATGTATCTCTTCTTTAGGCTATGGCGAGAGTAGATGGTCAAAATGATGACCGCACGGGTTTTAAGTGCAAACAAATGGTCACGTCATGAATATTCCTGAACGGACAACGAACTAAATTTTATTTAATACGGTACTTGGATATACAGTTATACATGATCTTTTAATTGCTGTGGTATGTTAAACAATATAGTTTAATATACAATAGTATGTGACATTTTAATAACACATTTTTTCTTGATATATAATATACAACAAGTGCAATACTGATTAGTTTGAGTGAAGGTACACAAGTGGTCTAAATTTATATCTTGGATCTAGAAAAGAATCTATCAATTCGGCAAGGTGATAAATCATAAGAAGGTTCTTTTCCCATGGCCAACTCTCCAAGAACTTTTCCAACCACTGGTGATAGCTTGAATCCATGACCTGTAGTAGCAATAAATTATTAAACAAAATTGTACATAAGCAGTCATAACTTTGCTCTGATTGTTACATAATATCTATATCATAGCTGACCACTGATATCCTTTATGTACTACCTGTTGTATCCATAAGCAAGTATTTCGCGTTCATGACATCACCACATGCGACTTATCACCGGACTTTTTCTAGACATAAACAACACGAAGGGTGCTATTAAGGGAAAAGAAACTGCTTACCCTTCATGAACACTTGATTTTAAACCCCAAATTGTTTTAAGGACAAATCTTGACTTTTCAATGTTTTGTGTTTGTCTTTCTTTGATTTGTTGCGTTTTGTTATTCATACTCTTTTTTAAGTTTCAACTGAGAGAAATATGCTTTCACAGTCTTAGATCTGTGGACACCAGATAAGTCATATGTTCTGTTAAAGTAGATATGCCTTGATTTCAGTCCGCAGTAGCGCATGTTATTGTTAAAGTTGATCTGCCTTGATTTCAGTCCGCAGTAGCGCATGTTATTGTTAAAGTTAATCTGCCTTGATTTCAGTCCTCAGTAGCACATGTTATTGTTAAAGTTGATCTGCCTTGATTTCAGTCCGCAGTAGCGCATGTTATTGTTAAAGTTGATCTGCCTTCATTTCAGTCCTCAGTAGCACATGTTATTGTTAAAGTTGATCTGCCTTGATTTCAGTCCGCAGTAGCGTATGTTATTGTTAAAGTTGATCTGCCTTGATTTCAGTCCGCAGTAGCACATGTTATTGTTAAAGTTGATCTGCCTCGATTTCAGTCCGCAGTAGCGCATGTTATTGTTAAAGTTGATCTGCCTTGATTTCAGTCCGCAGTAGCGCATGTTATTGTTAAAGTTGATCTGCCTTGATTTCAGTCCGCAGTAGCACATGTTATTGTTAAAGTTGATCTGCCTTGATTTCAGTCCGCAGTAGCACATGTTATTGTTAAAGTTGATCTGCCTTGATTTCAGTCCGCAGTAGCAAATGTTATTGTTAAAGTTGATCTGCCTTGATTTCAGTCCGCAGTAGCACATGTTATTAGGACTCGTCTTTCGTCAAAACATGTCATCTGTCTGAATTTTAAGTTCACATTTTAAATCTTAAAAACAAAGAAATTGTAAAAACTAATTATTAAAACATAGCTTTTGTCATTATATATGTTTGTAATATGATAGTCCCCCAGAATATTGTCTTTCCAGCTTTATTTTTTTTTCACTTAATTGTTTTTACAATTGTATGTCTTGACATAAATTATTATGTCCGCTGGTGTTTTATCTGCACATGCTGGTGTTTTTGGATGCTTCATTTATAACATTTCGCTAAGATGTTAGCATAACAAAATTGTACCTGAGAATCCAGCACCAATAATTATATTTTTCCAAGCTGGGTGTTTATCCAATACGAATTCTTCATCTGGTAACCACTGTAATTATGGTAACAATAGACATAACGTGTAAATAAATAAGTACTTCTCTAAAACAAGATTTTAGAAACGCTGACATTTCAACGTTTACTGAACAAAGGAAGTTTTTGGGCTTCACAATTTCAGATCTATAGCGAATATTTAGGTCAATTCATTTAGCCATTGCTTTGCGTTTCATTGCGTTTAATCGGATGATTCATGCATATCTTTTTTGTCTGTACTTCGACGATTAACGAGATTTGAAAAACTCCAAGGCAAATCTGGTATCTTGGTAAACTACTGTCGCCATAATCTATATAGATATAGGAAGATGTGGTTTGAGTGCCAATGAGACAACAGTCCATCCAAGTAACAATTTATAAAAGTTAACCATTATAGGTCAAGGTACGGCCTTCAACACGGAGCATTGGCTCATACCGAACAGCAAGTTATAAAGGGCCCTAAAAATTACTAGAGTAAAACCATTCAAACGGGAAAACCAACGGTCTAATCTATATAAAAACGAGAAACGAGAAACACGTATGAACTACATAAACAGACGACAACTACTGTACATCAGATTCCTGACTTAGGACAGGTGCAAACATTTGCAGCGGGATTAAACGTTTTAATGGTACCAAACCTTCTCCCTTTTCTGAAACAATAGTATAACATCACAGCATAGAAAGACATGTCCTTTTATGTTTAATAACATTAACGCTACCAATTTGATCTGCATGTGATGTGCATTTCGACAATAAATGTCTACTCAGTGATGCTCGAGGCCAAAATATTTGAAAATCCAAAACTTATTTAAAACAATGAAGAGCTAATAAACCAAAATGGACATGAAATAATAAAATATTCATTCAATCATTCAAAATAATAAAGATGTATATAATTTGTGAAAATCGTTATGATCTTTGTGCACTTAAATATATTAAAAAGCTACATATTTGCATTTGCTGCTTTGGTCTATGTCAATTATTGAATGCACTTCAACTTACACTGTAAATGCATGTTTCAAGAATACTTGGTTCTGGAACCAAATTTGGAAAATGCTTTGAGACATAACTTTTCATTTTATCCAACACCCATTTATCATCTGCAGCATCTCTGTTGTCAGGGTCTATATCTGGACCAAAATGTAAACAAATCTACAACAATGTCAACATATCTTGATAATATATTTGGTTAAAACTATATTCGGACCAAACATGTAAACAAATCTACAACCAGATCAATATATCTCTGTTATCTGGGTCTTAAAATGTAAACAAACCTACAATGTCAACACATATATTGATAGGGTCTATATCTGGACCAAAATGTAAACAAATCTACAAGATCAACACATATTTTGTTAGGGTCTATGTCTGGACCATAATGTAAACAAAACTACAACAAGTTCAACGTATCTTGGTAATTTATAAAAAGAAATGACTTCTTGTTTTTAACTACGAATGTTAGTATTAATTGAGCACGCGCAATATGATAACCAATGAAAACCCCATTTAAGTAGAAAGTAAATAGTTATAACAATACCACAAAACTGCATGAATATCAAACTTAAAAGTAATTTATCTTCTCAATCGATTTATGAGATTTGAACATCGGTAAACCACTGTTGTCTAAATGTAACATTTACATAATAACCTTATTATATCTTTATTAGTGGCAACAACTGTATCATGTTCCAATTTCAGAAATTATTTCAGATCAAGCAAAGCAAGTTAAAAAAAACACCTGAGGGAATCGCATGAACTCCTAAAAGAGCGAAACTGGGTGCGTCGACAGAGTAAGCGTATGCATGCATCACCCGTTATACGAATCCACCATCAGTCAAACGTCACAATTATCCACCCTCAGTCAAACGTCACAACTTACAATAGGACACAATAAGTAAAAACCAGATGTCTATTCTGGTATCTAAAACCAGATGTCTATTCTGGTATCTAAAGCCAAATGTCTATTCTGGTATCTAAAACCAGATGTCTATTCTGGTATCTAAAGCCAGATGTCTATCTGGTATCTAAAACCAGATGTCTATTCTGGTATCTAAAGCCAGATGTCTATTCTGGTATCTAAAACCAGATGTCTATTCTGGTATCTAAAACCAGATGTCTATTCTGGTATCTAAAACCAGATGTCTATTCTGGCATCTAAAGCCAGATGTCTATTCTGGCATCTAAACCAGATGTCTATTCTGGCATGTAAAGCCAGATGTCTATTCTGGCATCTAAAGTCAGATGTCTATTCTGGCATCTAAAGCTAGATGTCTATTCTGGCATCTAAAACCAGATGTCTATTCTAGCATCTAAAACCAGATGTCTATTCTGGCATCTAAAACCAGATGTCTATTCTGGCATCTAAAACCAGATGTCTATTCTGGTATCTAAAACCAGATGTCTATTCTGGTATCTGAAACCAGATGTCTATTCTGGCATCTAAAGCCAGATGTCTATTCTTGCATCTAAAGTCAGATGTCTATTCTGGAATCTAAAACCAGATATCTATTCTGGCATCTAAAACCAGATGTCTATTCTGGCATCTAAAACCCGATGTCTATTCTGGCATCTAAAACCAGATGTCTATTCTGGTATCTAAAGCCAGATGTCTATTCTGGTATCTAAAGATCTAAGACTGCGTTAGTGAGTTCACACAGACACATCGTATTTGTCAACTATTTTATGATTGTGACCGTGTAACTTGTGAAATTCTATTCCAGTTGTTCTTCTATAAATAGTAGTGTAGACACGTCTATGCTATTCCTGTAACACATATTTATCGGTCTTCCTTCAGTCTGTGTCATTCTGTTCATTTCTTCATAAAATTGCATATCGCGGCTTTATGGCGTCAAACACTTTGACCATGATTTATTTATATCATCGACGGTATAATGTTTGAGTTTGAATCGAACTTATCAAATCTTCTTCCGATTTATGAAGCAAATAAATATATGTCTATATCATGAAAGACAGAAGAATACAAACCGCAGATTTTAATCATTATTGATATTGTAAACAAACATCAGTTGGATGTCAAAATGTAAAGCCTTTTTTAACTGTGCTCGAATTCTAAACAAAAGCTCTTCAATTTATCAACTGTCATACAAATAGGGGTCTAGTTAGCTATAAAACGAGGTTTAACACATCATTTAATTCGGAAAACGCTTGTACCAAGTCAGGAATATGACGGATGTTTTTCACTCGTCCCGTTGGTTAATATTAATTGCTTTTGTCAGTTTCATGGACTTCCCTTTTTTGAATTTACCTTGGAGTTCGATATTTTTGTTTATCTGTTATACCGAATTAGTTTTTGATTTTCAACCGTTTTGGCCTAGAGCATCACTGAAGAGAAATTCATTATCGAAATATGCATATGGTGCAGATAAATTTGCACCGTCAATGTTATAATGACTCCCAGCTGATATTTTACAGTATCAAAATGAAAAAAAAATGATAATCGGTATTTAATATACCTATCTATACCTTTCTAAGGACGATATATCATCATATAGTTACCTAAACATGTTAAGGATATTCTGCATTGGTAACTTATGAATTCTTTGGTATCTATTCCACATACTTTCTGCCGGGAGCAAAAATACACATCATAGTTACCTGCCGGATTCCCCATTGAGTAACTCACATACGTTCCCTAAACACGTCCTTCGCATTCCACTTAGGATAAAAATATACCTAAAGATACATAAGCATGCCCAATGTGCTTTGTCAATAGGTAAACCTCATACTTTATGATTACCTTAAAATACTGGGTAACCCATAAAATTACGTCATAGTTACCTTAACATGTCCAGGATATTCCTCACTTGGTAACCCATACACACTATAGTTATCTACCCCCGGATGTTGTACAAAGACAGGGAATTTGTTCACAGCATATTGCCCAGGAAACTTCTCTTTCCAGTAACAAACTGTTATTCTTAAAGGCTGAAAGTTAGTGCTAGTAATTTTGATATAAGCGAAATTATATATTTGTTGTGCTAATATTTTGTTTCATTCATACAAAAGTTTAAGAAAAACAATGATTGTAATGATTAACGTTTCTGTGGATGCTTCACTTTCTATTTTCCACGAATGTAATAGTCTATAAAACAAAAGTATGGAAGACATTTGTTTTCCATTCGTTTGATGTGTTTGAGTTTTAATTTTGCCATTTGATAAGGGACTTTCCGATTTGAATTTTCCTTGAGTTTTTGCAGTACCGACGAATTCGGTATTTTTGTTATTTTACTTTTTTTATAATTATAAGATTTGCTTTTCCTTTGTATGGTTTGATTGTGCTATTATAACTGTTTGATCTTTCCCGGATAGTATTAACAGGTAGAGTTAAGTACTTGCAAAATAAATTAAAACGACGAAAGTTTGGTATGTCTATCCTAATAAAAAATGGCGTTTTGTCTACTATTTGATGTATCTGTTGAATTTATCCCAACCTAACTAAGTGGGGCATGCATACCCACTTGGTGCTTATTCAGTGCTGGATTTCAGCTTTATATGTCATATGATGTCGTTTTGGGTTGGTTAAATTGTCTAATCAACGTTCTTTCCACAACCGTTCTAATTTATATGCTACATTGATTCAGTTTCATCTTATATTCATCATATAATAAATACCTACCCTTAATGGAATGTGAACACCAAGAGACGGCAAAATAGTTTTGGCCCATGGACCAACAGTCAACACAAGATTATTGCACTTGTACGATAATTTAGAAGTTATGACAGTGATAACATGTCCAGGTATGATATTGACCATTGCCTCTCCATCATGTAGTTCACCGCCAAACTTTTGGAATTGATCCTGAAATCGATTAAATAGAAAATATCAATGGCTATAATAACAGTGGATATTTGGCACGCTGTCAAGCCATAATCATCTCACCATCATATGTACCAAGTCAACACTGAATAAACAATAGCAATTAAATTAGGGTCATTTATAGATTATCCAAAAAGAATCCAGATTACGTGGGCAAACCTTGATTAAGCAGAAAGTATGATCAGACCACTTTTTAACTCTTTATTTCGGAAATTAAAAAGTCTTATATGTCTCATGAATAGCTAGTATCGCAATACCCTTATCTATGATATATTTCTAAATCCATTTTTGCTTCAAGCGGGGGATATGAATATGGCTTTTCGCTGTTGTAGATATTTCAATGTAATACAGCTACATCAGTCTTGTTCTATTGTATGATATAAAAGTGCTTGGAAAAGTTTTATTTCGTCATTTTTCAGCAAAAGATAGTGACTCTTTAAGGATAACCTGATATGCTTTGTTTTATACTTTTAAATTCAAAACTAACAAAAAAGGGGTATTGTTTTTTAACAAAGCAATTTTACCTGGAATGCTTTGAGAGCCTTGTCAGCCCGTAATATTCCACCGCTGTGATCTAATACGTATGTGAAATCATTTGGGTAAGAAATCATTGGATACTTGACCTTTGCTTCATCCGAACCATAAACGTCCATTGGTATATTATGTTTTCTCATTGCTTTGATTGTGCTTTCAACAAATTCGTTACCTGGTTCACCTACGGATAACATTCCTGTGTTTCTGAAAAGATCAATATTTGAAATGAGATAGAAGTTTTATCACCAGACCAGAAGAAAATAGACGAGCTTTAGCTGTGTATCTGTAATATAAAATACGTATTATATAAGAACAATGTCAACATTAAATCTGAACAAATATAAAGATACTGCTGCATATCAAACAAAAGTAGATCATTATCATGATTTATCGTAATCATAATGTGTATGATTTAATAAGGCGAAAATCGTGTTCATGTTTACACTTGGCCGAATTTATTGAGTTCTGGTACTTTTTGTAATAGTCCTAAATATTCATTTAATGTACTGTATAATAATAATAGTTTTCTGTATAGAAGTTAAATCAGAGATAAATTAGACAATATCGATTAAATACATGAATATTTCTGTTTTACTCTCTCTTTCCAACTGCTCCCATAATTGAAAGGCTTCATTCATCATGACGGCGTAATGTTCCTTTGAGCCATATGCCTTTCTGGTGATCCGGCTCTGTCCATGAGAACTACCCCGGTTATGAGGCAGAGGAAACTGAAAGTAATTCAAATATTACAGCCTAGTACTATCAATTATTTACTCCAAATTTTAAGTAATATTCTTAAATTGCACTCCTCAATTTGTGGTTCCCTATATGATGATTTTTCAATCAGTAAATCACGTATCGTACGTAATCTTAAAAAGCATTGCTCCAAATAAAGTAAAAATTTGAATCATTTTATCAAAAGATACCCGAAATTAATTGAAGATTAGTTTATGTGGCCTTATTATTTTTTTTAATTTTGTAATTAAACATGCAAAGCACTGAGAAACGAGTAAGGACAATAGGACTTAATTTACCCTTACTTTAGTATAAATATCATACGGGATACTTGTATTTAACCCTGACATGACTAATGTAATATGTGTTTGTTTCCTCCTTAAGAAAATAGGGTAGTTAGCTAAGATTTTTTTTGGATTTGCTGAACATTTTTTACTTTGAGTATATTTGTGAAACCGGCATTTTTCCGATTTACTACCAGTGTGTCAATAAGATCTTTTAGTAAGCATCTTGAGGCATATAAATAGAGAAGGGGGAAACCCTAAACATATATACATTTTTTATGTTTGGCCTAACATATAAATATCTACGGGTCATGTTTGTTTGCTTTTTAATCGCATAACACTATCCATCTCATATTTGTGAAGGTACCAGAACCTTAACAAAAACATGAGAGAAAGCGTGTATTTCTTTAATTCGAAATCTTTAATAAGTTTCTCACAAATTCATTATGTACGCAATTCTCAATATAATCAACGACATATAGTTGACAAATGCGATACATGTACAAATTCTTCCGATTTTAGTATACGCCTCAATGACAACAGTACGGCGATACATTATGTTTATCCAATGATCCAGTTGACATAGTGGGACAAAGATAGCTCGTAATAAATGTGTAGATAAGCGGTCGTGCATTTGAAAAGAGAAATGTCCTGCTTACTGGACACACTTATTACATTATGCAATACTTAATAAGTTACCTGCTCCAAAAGAAGAGTTTTCTGTCCCTGCTTGGCTAGATAGTAGGCAGTAGACGAGCCCTCTATCCCTGCACCAACCACAATAGTATCATAGATACCGGACATCTTCTATCAAGTCCAATGATAAAACATACTGTAGGTTATACGATATTGACAAAGATTTGTTAACTCCCTTTTATAATATGTTTCGTTTATCTTCTTCATTACCTTTGATTAAGATTCTGAGTTTAAACGTCTGAAAAGGGATTTTAAAGTGAGGTTTAACCATTTGACAGCGCTAGGTACAGAGTACGACAATAAAGTTTTACAAGCCGAATAAATAATAATTACAAACTTTTACAATTTGAAAACTATTTTTTTAATATAAAATAGATGCTAGGATGCTGGAAATTCACAAAAATAAAAATATAACGTCCTAATGACAGATATGATGTCAGAAAGTGTAGTTGGAGGTATTCTCCTATGAACAACGTAAAAGATAAATTCTGCGTAGAACATGACGTTCATTCTAAAACGTTGCGGTCAATGGGTTAACCCCAGCAAAAAAAAATTAACGTTGTCATAAAGAACGGGGGGGGGGGGGGGGGTGGGGGGGTCTCAACTTGGGATTTGGGGTGCAGACGAGCAGCTGGGATGGCATTAACCTCGAGACAAAATGCCTCAAATAAATTCATTCAAATATATATAGTGAAATTTCCAAGCCAACGAATTTTCAGCTTTAATAGAACACCCTCCCTGCAGGCTAAATCATTACTTTTCGTTCAGAGAAATGCTTAAACTGTTTTAAAAATCAGGTCGTAGAATCAAAATATGGCGCACATTTGTTAAGATTTGAGGTTTAGAGTCAGTGTTTGATTTTTTTTATTAGTGTTCATTTATTTTAAAAGGGGTTTTAAGTCAGAAAATAATACATGACCCCATATGTATCGTATTAGGTCATTAGCACACTGCGTAACGAATTTATCTTACGGACTAGCTTAAGATGTGGCATTTCGACTAATGGCATGTCAAAGTGATCAAGTCTTCAATATAAAGAACCTACTTCCACTGGTCTATACAAAAACAAATGCCAACAGTAACAACTTGTTAGCTTTTAAAAGAGGGGCGAAAGATACCAGAGGGACAGTCAAACTCATAGATCGAAAATAAAATGACAACGCCATGGCTAAAAAATAAAAATAAAAACAGACAAATAATAGTACACAAGACACAACATAGAAAACTAAAGACTAAGCATTCAACACGAACCCCACCAAAACTGGGGGTGATCTCAGGTGCTCCGGAAGGGTAAGCAGATCCTGCTCCACATGTGGCACCCGTCGTGTTGCTCATGTTATTACAAATCCGGTAAATAGTCTAATTCGGTAGGTCACATTCGTGGTGAAAAAGGAAGTGGATTGTAATTACGACATAAGGAACAATAAAAAACATCTTTTAATGTGTTTTCCGAATTTATTTCAATCGTTCATCATCAATTTCTTCATATGTTGTCCGGGTGAAACGTTTAAGATTTTTCCTCGACGCCGTGTTGTTTCAATAAAGGCACATACCACCACTACTAACCGTATATTGAAATAAACCACAGCTTCTAACCCCATATGAAATATACACGGTGTCCACGCGGTCGCTTTTAACCAATGATATTCTTAGAAATGTTTAGGAGGTAAGATAAAATATCATTCTCTACTTTAATGTATCTAAATGCCTTCATGTATTTTATTTTTCTTTTATTTTTGCATTAATCGATTTTAAATTTTTTAAGAATTTATCATAAAAAATGAAATATAAAAGCTACAGTGAATAAAGGGATTAAATGTGTTCAGAATTTTGAAATGATATCCCAAATCTAAATTTTCCGTTCTGTGGTTAAAAACAAAATATTTTGTATAAAGTACTATACTTAACACTATATTTCAATGTTGTTGTTCATAAGTTACAACTCTATTTGCATATGTGAAGCGGGCAAAATTCTGTTTGGTTCATAATTCGTATACTAAATGTTAGTTTACCTTCAATTCAACTTCTCAGTGTTACTTTATTGACCAGTATGGTAAACATCATAATACAGAATTTCTACACTGTGTGACAAAGTCGTCAGAATGTTATATATACAGTCCGCCAAAAGTTAAGCACCACCTAAATATAACTGGGAATATTTTTTTAACTATTGCGAAAAAAATATTTATGTTTGGTGTTATGAATTGCCTATAACATACACTAAGAAAATTCATTACGACAAAAAAAAAAATTCGATCAACACGTCAAGCAATTTTTTATTAAAGGTCATCCGCACTTTTTCGAATACACTGTTTTAATGCCTTTAAATCATAGATCTTCCTACTGCCCCGCGTACAGGTGAAATTTGACCTTCACCAAGTCACTGTGAAATGTGGCAGGGGGTAAGTTATATGTGACTAAACCTTGACAAGCAATTGACATGTCAAATGCCGGTAGGAGCACTAGTTGCATAGGTAACCATTTCAATGTTAAACACACCGTCATTTTCAGATTTTTACAACGTCATGTTGACACAGGAACTGTAATTGATAGACCAAGGTCCGGAAGACCCCGTTTAAGTACTGATCGTGATGACAGACTCCTTATTGGTTGCGCAAAAGCCAACCCATTTACTCCTGCCCCACAACTTAGACACCACTGGCGTCAAGGTGGTCATGTTAGTGTTCGAACATTGGTCCGTCGACTTCATAGAGGCTACGTAAGAGCACGTCGTGTTGTCAAGAGACCTGCCCTAACAGCCAGGCACCGTATAATCAGGTTTCAAAGGGCTAATGACCATCGACGCTGGAACATGAGAAGCTGGCAAAATGTTCATTGGTCAAATGAGAGTCAGTTTCTGTTACGACCAATAGACGGCAGAATACGAATTTGCCGTGGAAATAAAACTGCTAATGACCAAAACAACATTTGCCCAACGACTGCATACGTTGCTGGTGGTGTTACAGTATGGGGTTTCTTATCATACTGTTGTAAGGTGGGTATGCATATTCTGCAGGGTAACATGAACGGACAGACATACAGGGATTTGGTGCTTAGAAACATTGTAGTCCCTCATTTTGATAATCTTCCACTTGCTTCAAGACCCTTGTGCATGTACGACAATGCTAGACCACACAGGGCAAGGATTGTAACCGAGTACAAAGAGTACAAAGAGCAAGAAGCCATTGACACTATCTTTTGGCCTTCCATGTCTCCAGACATGAACCCTATCGAACATGTCTGGGATGCCATTGGCAGAAATCTCAATCGCAGAGATCCACCTTTGCAAAATCTTAGCGATTTAAGAAGCGCAATTGTTGCTGAATGGAATAAATTTGCTCAACTAAAGTTCAGAAGGCTTGTACAGAGTATGAGACTCCATGTTATGGAACTGTACCGGAAGAGAGGGTGTTACACATCCTATTGACTCAAATATTGACATTAAATTTGCCGAACATACCAAAGATTATTTGTAGAGACTTTTAATGATATTGGGTGATTAATTGTTGTAAAAAAATAAAATCACAGTGAAACTTAAATTCCTTTTCTGATTTGTGTAATTTTCACTATTTCTATGAACGCAAATTTCAAATGCATAGAACCTGCATACGTGAACAAACTTAAGTCTGCTGTTTGTTTATGGTATATTTTAGCAAAATTGCTACATGAATATTTTCTCTTTTTCGAGGATTAACTGATTTTTTTAAATGAAAAACATTTCGATGCAATAAAAATAGGTGGTGCTTAACTTTTGGCGGACTGTATATATATGTTCCGGACCATATGAGTATTTGGACCATACGCGTATTGTCATGACCATATGCGTATATACTCATATGGTCCGCCCATACGCGTATGGTCCGGGTGTTTAATACGATGGACGTTGCCTTAAGCACGAACCTTCAAGGTGTCATTAATTAAGAGTTTTTAATTGTGACTTATCACATCAAATGGCAACCATTGTTACATGATTAATGAAATAAATTTAACTCTACTCAAATTGAAATTTAAGTTAAAGCATTTTTACGTGGTCATTTTCGACTTGTCCTTACGAAACACAATATGTGTCGATTTTGACTTTGGAATATAAGTTCAAGAAATATTTAAATGTACCGTTTAAAAAGAAGTCAACTGTTTAACTCACAGGTACTTGGGGCATTGCACCCTCACCTATTTTCCTTTATTTTAATGTTTTAATTTGATTTTAGTAAATATTTTTTTTAATATCGTAGATTATGTTTACTTATTTAATGATCTTTAATGTGTTCATGTTCCTATTTATACAATCACGTATTTTAAACGTGCTGTCACTACGAACTACTGTCATTGTAAGTTCGTATGAATAGAAACAAAAACATATCAATTAAGTGAAAATATGTAAAATTTAGAAGAATTTAAAAAATTAAACTATCTAAATACCGGGGAAAGAAGAAAATAGCCCATTTTAAATATATTCGAAAAATACCTATATGGTCTAAATACTCATATGGTCCGGCTCGTTAATATCCAAACGAGTATATACTCATGTGGTCCGACTATACGCGTATGGTCCAAATACTCATATGGTCCGGAACATATATAACATTGTCAATTAAAGTTATTACATTCAACCTATGTTGTACCATCGTTAACCCACAATGAAATTAGAGTCAATACATTTTATGCCAATGACTTTTGTTGTTCCTTGCATTGTCTGTCGATTTCGAGTCTTTGTTTTATTAAAAGTCGATAAAGGGCTTCTGAATGGTATGACGCCGTGGAAGGTTTTGCGAACTTAAAAGTGATTATTCTCCTTCCCTCCATTTCATCTTAAAAATGCAAAAGGAATATGCGACATTCCACTTGCTTCGTATCCTGAATTTAGCATCAAAGTGTTGTCTAAATAGTTCCTGCTACAATATTATCAAGATTTTCCACTTTTTCAACATGGTTCGTCTCCAAGATTGGCATACAACATTTGTATAACTGCTGTTTTATCTGTGGTCGATCTTGAAAATGAGTCAAAATCGGTGAAGTGAAAAAAATCATTGAATTGACTCTATTCTGATTTGAAACACAATCATAATTAGTGATGATATCAAATTCCTATAAAAGGCTGGATATAACAGCTCATATGACAACTGTTTGCGGTCTGTATGGGTACTGGATACATGCCATCGTGAAAGGGGGACAACTGTGAATATGCATACCATAGGGAGCCAAATGTGAAATGTAAAAACACGAATGCATACACCATAGGAGGTGAAGCTGGTATGTTGCTACTGTGGTTACATTTATGACAATTTCCAGAGATTTAAACGAATCCCCTTCAAATTTAATAACACGTTTTGAATCAGAAACATGTGGAAACTAGATAACTTAACCATGGCAAACGATTTCGATATATATAGCACGGAGTTTCCATCGCATAACATAGACAAGGATGAAGGCACGTCTTGAGTAAAGACTTTACACAGAACGAATATTTCTCCACATAGATAAAATGTAATAAACAGACGTTTAGTTTGTTTTTAATTTTATTATACCATCCTAAATACTATATGGTATTGTTATTTTTAAGCATCATGAATAGGTATTAGTCATTTAATCAAATGTATTTATCACATTTATATTTTGGACTTCGGGAAAAATCTGTTAATTTTACAAGGCGTGAGATCATATGATGGTGACTTTCCCATGGCCAGTTCTCCTAAGACTTTTCCCACAACTGGTGCCAGCTTGAATCCATGTCCTACAATCAGTGAATTTAAAAGATAAAATAATTGAATATACCACTCTTATAATTTATTTTCCAATATTGATGTTTTCATGCATTTGTCTTTGGAATATATTAATTATTCTATTTTTAAAACAACTACGAGGAAAGACAAAAACGTGAAAATGCGAAAACGCGACACGACGACGGCTACAACGCGAAACAAAAATCATTTCGTGTTTTTGCGTTTTCGAAATTTTGAAATATCAAAGTCGAAAACGTAAAATGGCCGTATCCGGTCACCATAATTACCTGAAAATCCCGCTCCGATTATGATATTCTTCCACGATGGATGGGTGTCTAAAATAAGGTCTTCGTCAGGTAACATCTGAATGAACCAAAATAAATATAAAATTAAATCCTCTTAGTTCATTATCTCTAACACAATATAGGTGGGGTACTTTCAATCAAAGTGCTTGTGAGCACTGACAGGTAAAGATTGCTTTCCATTTGTAAAGTGAAATTAAATTTAACCCATTTAGGCAATATTTTGAATTGTAGTTATCTTCTTTTGTTCATAACTGTACACTTGTAGTTGATCCTATTTTTACAACAGATATATTCATGCACCATAATATAAAATCGTTTTCTTGACAAGCATGGTTAAACACATACACATCATGTTGTATCTTGAATGTTTTAGTATATATTATTGATACATTGCATGACATGTGCTGGGTAAGATCTTTAGAATGTTCACATCGCTGTACTAAATTAATAAGATTTGGTTTGATTGCCAATAAGACAGTTTGGAACCTGAGAGACCAAATGACGTAGATGTTAGCAGCTATAGGACCTTCAACAATGATCAAAACCCAAACCGCATAGCAAGACATAAAAGACCCCGACATGACAAATGTAAATAAAGGCAACAGTAGTATACCGCTGTTCGAAACTCATAAATCGATAGAGATAAAAACAAATCCGGGTTACAAACTAAAACTGAGGGAAACGCATCAAATATAAGAGGAGAACAACGACACAACAAAAACACAACATTAAAATGTAACACACACAGAAACGAACTATAATATAACAACGGCCATTAACTTAAAACAATTCAAACGAGAACACTAACGGTTTGATTAATGTACAAAACAATAGACGAAAAATGAATATGATGTACAATAACAAATGACAACCATTGAATTACTATGCTGTTAAGACTCTCAAAGGTAGAGATGGTGACATACGGGTTTTGACGGCATATCATGCGATCTTTATCCCTCAAATGACAACAGTCCATATATTAGGAATTGAAGCCTTTTCTTTAGGTTTCTAATGTTGTTTAGTTGCTGTCTCCATATCATTAAATCTGGCCGTTTATTGGTCTATGGCCATGATAAATCATTAAATGTGAGGGAAAAACTTCATTAGAAAACATTATAAGATCAGAAATAAAGGAAAAAAATGTTTTTAAATAGCATACCGTATAAATACATGTTTCGACAATACTAGGCGAAGGAACTAAGTTTGGAAAATGTCTGGCTACATATTCAGATATTTTATCTATCACCCATTTATCATCTGCAGCATCTCTATTGTCTGGGTCTATCTCCGGTCCTGCATGTAAACAGATCTAAAAAGAAAACATATGACTGAACTGAAATAATAAATGTTATATATTTACATGTAATGACATTTCTAGATTCGTCTCCCTATATCCGAACCACAAAACTATTCCCAGGCAATAAAGATATTGGTATTGGCTGTTAACGTTATATGTCCTACTAATTACCTTCAAATAGTCATATATTTACTACATAGTTCGAGTATCATCTATACATTTACTGAAAGAATTACTTGAATATTCCAGTGCTGACCAAGTTTCATTAGTTAGTAAACAATCATATATTTTTACGTCATCTGAGAAGTTATATTGTTAAATTTTTGAATAATATTTCTCTGTCATCAACATGGTGTGTACCTTAACATGCCCAGGGTATTCTTCACTGGGTAGTCCATACACTTCGTATCCGTCTATTGCTGGAATCTGGAAGAACACTGGGAATCTATCAGCACCGTATTCTCCCTTCGTTCTCTCTTTCCAGTAACACACGTTAATTCTCATTGGCTGTAGATTAAATTTTAAAAAGAAAGCTTAATGATAAACCATATCTCTGAATAAACAGAGATGTGAAGTATACGTCAATGAGACAACAACCCAACGAAAAATTAATCAAAAGACATCTAGAAGGCAGCATACTGTCCTCAACAATACACAGGAGTCTTTCACTATGTAAAGATCTAAATCAACCGGAGTCTACAAGGGCGGAGCAGTTGGAAATGGGGAGAGCAAAACAATGCCAGAAGTTTGCCCAATTTCAATAGACTTTTCAGTCCACTCCTACGCCACTGACTTAGTGGATAAATTTAATAAAACATTCAGAGACTTGCTATAAACAAACAGTTTTCCAAATAACAAAAAAACATGAAGATACCACATAAGACAACGACTGACAAGGTAACTTAATTCGGACAGGTATATATAAATGTGGCGAATTCTAAATTTTAAACACCCTCCTCCTTAACCCCGATCGATAGATGAACAAAACGCCCATATAAGAACATACTACAAAAGCAGTACAGTAAAAAGAACATAACTCTAAAATATTGGTATCACAGATAACAAAAACATAAAATAAATAAAAAAATATACTGCAGTTATTGAAACCAAGGTAAACGTACCTATCCTGCACTGAATAATGACTGTTGTACATATTAGAAGATTTCATGTTGCAACTAATTGAGATTCGAGAAGTAGTGATAAGCAAGAACTGTATAATTATAACTTGTATCAATAAGTGTATTATGGTCATGGAACAGTAAATGGGCTAAGTCACAGGTTTTGCATACAACTTTGGCTCGTTGAACTATAACTGAAAATCGAAAAAAAAATAATGCATTTATCTCTTATATTATCTGAAATATTACTGATTGAATTCTTTCAAAATAGGTGAATATTTGTATAGAAAGCATAAAAATTCGTCGAAAAACCTTCTTAAATTTGTCTTAAAATCATCAAATCTCTAATTTCTTTTCATAGATTTAAAAAATAAAAACTACATGTTGTTGATACATACATTTCCGTTTTAACGATATAAAATATTCATATGGTCACCGACTTCATTTTTACGGTATACAATAACATCATTCAACGTGGTGTTCTGTGTGAACTAGAGGCTTCCAAGAGCCTGTGTCGCTCACCTGATTCTACTTTGGTTTTGGAAATCATGTAAAAATAGATTAAAATCATAACAGATACCCTAATAATGATTGAGGCCAAACTTGGTTTAATATTGGCCCCGTAATTTAATCAAAAGCAGAAGACTTTTGTAAAGTTTACAGAAATTACCAATAAATTCATTGAAATTGTAGAAAATGACTTTATAAGGACAATGACAAATCAGCTACAAAGTAACAACACTTGGTCAGCACCTCAAAAGAAACATTCATACCATGTTTGGTTTCAATCCATTTTGCGGTTTTCTAGAAGAAGACATTTGTATATATTTCTCTTAGGGTCTATGTTAAACTAAGTCCCCCGTTGGCGGCCATCTTGGATGATGGATCGCCTACAAAGTTACAACACTTGGTCAGCACCTCATAAGGAACATTCATACCATGTTTTATTTCATTCCATTAAGTGGTTCTCTAAGAGAAGACGTTTGTATGTATTTCCTATAGAGTCCTATGTTAAACTAAGTCCCCCTCTGGCGGCCATCTTGGATGATGGATCGGCTTCAAAGTAATAACACTTGGTCAGCACCTCATAAGGAACATTCATGCAATGTTTGGTTTTATTCCATTCAGTGGTTCTCTAAAAGAAGACATTTGTATGTTTTGTCCATGGGGTCCTATGTTAAAAGAAGTCCCCCCGCTGGCGGCCATCTTGGATGATGGATCGGCTTCAAAGTAACAACACATGGTCAGCACCTCATAAGGAACATTCATGCCATGTTTGGTTTCATTCCATTCAGTGGTTCTCTAAAAGAAGACATGTGTATGTATTGTCCATAGGGTCCTATGTTAAACGAAGTCCCCCGCTGGCGGCCATCTTGGATGACGGATCAGCTACAAAGTAACAACACTTGGTCAGCACTCATAAGGAACATTCATGCCATGTTTAGTTTCATTCCATTCAGTGGTTCTCTAGAAGAAGTTCAAAATGTAAAAAGTTAACGACGACGACGACGAAGGACGACGGACGCTAAGTGATGAGAAAAGCTCACTTGGCCCTTCGGGCCAGATGATCTAAAAATACCACAAAACGTCGAAAGAATCAGTTCTATTCCACTGTATGTTAAATTTGATTGGTTGAGATCATTCCACATGACACTGAACAACACTTTTCGAGGGTGAGCAAATCTTCATATCTCCCTAAGCCAAGGGAAATGAATGTTTTATTCCACGGCCTATTCTTTATTTACTACCAAGTACCTGAACATAAAACATTAATTTACGTACATTTTTCTCAACCGCTTGTTTTCATAACTAAACACGACATAATTTAAAACATTGATAAACAGTACCGATCAAAAGATAATTATCTATTTTCTTGGGTGAACAAATCTTCATATCTCCCTCAGGCACGGGAAATAAATGTATAATATGTCAGATGGAACAAGAGATAATGCATTATTTTTTAGATTTTCAGTTATAGTTCAACGAGTCAAAGTCGTATGCAAAATTTTAGCAAAATCTGTGAAATAGCCCATTTACTGTAACTTGACCTTAAGCCAAGTTTAATATTTCATTAACCGTTGCTTTCTCTTGTATTCATTTTCAACTATACTTTTTTGGCACGTCATGCAAAATTTGTTACATTATGTTAAACTTAAAGAGTTCTATTTCTTTAATGGAATAACTAATTTTAAAAGATTGATAGAATAAGTGGACTGTTTAAGAAATACTCACGTTATACTATGACATGTTCCTACCTTCAGAGGTGCATTTACACCAATAGCAGGTAGAATCCTCGTAGCCCATGGACCAACAGTTAACACCAGACTTCGACATTTGTATGAACCTTTAGTTGTCTGTACTGTTATTACGTCCCCTGGTAAAATGTTAACCATGGGTTCTCCATCGTGTAATTCTCCACCAAATTTCTGAAACTGGTCCTATCGATATATAAAGTACGGGTTGTTAAAATTCGTGATGTGCAAAACCTTTATTTGTCTTCAATCTTCATTGTGTGTTTACGTTCACATCGGCTAGCAAAAACAGCGTTGCTAAAACGTTTATTTTTAACCAACATCTTTATTTTTAAGATAAAGATAAAGAAATAAAGGTAAAATAGAATATAAGAAATGTACTCGAAATAAACTTTCACATAATATATTTAACACCTACTTGAAAAGCTTTAAGGGCTTTGTCTGCTCGAAGTATACCCCCACTGTGATCTAACACAAATGTAAAGTCGTCTGGAAATGATACCATAGGAAACCGGGCCTTGGCCTGGGTCGAATCTAAAATATCCATCGCCATATTGTGTTTTATCAGCGACTGTATAGTGCCATTAACAAAAGTATTATCTGTTGTACCCATGGTCAGCATTCCTGTTTGTCTAAAACATTGAATGTTATTCCGGTCAGAACATTACGAATTGTGTACAATATGGCTGTCAGTAAACAGGATATAGGATTTTTTACTGATCCTGTATTCCTTTGACTGATTATTTTTGGTATCTCTACGTTTGTCTCGTAAATCAAGTGGTTAAAATAAAAAAAACAAAATTAACTTTGTAGGAATATCGCACGAGTAGGACCTCCACAAGATTTCTTCAATTTAAATCTAGATTAACCTAAAGAGTTTTTAGATGGTTTGCAAATATAATTGTTGAATGTTTTGCTATCATTATTTTGGGTAAAAGTATGTTCAATATCATTCGAATGTCTATAAAACTTAATTTCACATCACATATCATTTCATTTTTAGTGAGGGCAATATGATTAAAACCGTGTTTTCTCCATCTTGAAGAGTAGAGGGCGGCTCGAGGGCGGTGCATTAACTGCTCCTATTGCCAGATTGTGTTAGTATAATAAGCAAGAACATTATATAATAATGGAAAATACGGTGAATGAGATAAATTAATTCTACAGAAAATATTTGTAATACAGGAGAAGGGAGTGCATGTGCCATGCGCGCTGTGAAAAACATTAAAATAACACACATATAGGCATACATTGATTACGTTGAATAAACAGCAGATCTATACATTTTATTTATCTATAATTTTCTACACTATAAATGAAATATCGATTGACATCAATTTGATAGAATTTGAACTTGAATTACCTAAATACAGAAGTTTTGCTTTCTCTTTCTAGAACTTCCCATAGTTTGAAGGCCTCCTTCATCATAATGGTGTAATGTTCTTTTGGGCCATAAGCCTTTCTTGTAATTCTACTCTGCCCATGGGAACTACCTCTGTTGTGTGGAAGAGGAAACTATAAAGATTAAAATGTTCATTAAGTCGGCAATATAATACACAAAGAAAAAAACTGATTTGGCCTAAGTGATAATCCTACTTTAAAGGTAAACCTAGATATGATGATGTTATGTTATATCAGAAGACCATTACTAGGGCTCTAGTAATGGACTTCTGTTAATATTTATGTTAATTCGTCTATAAATAAGTGCAGATACCTGTTCTAACTGTAGTGTTGTTTGGCCCTGTTTTGCCAGATGGTAGGCCGTAGCTGATCCCTCTATCCCCGCTCCCACAACAATAGTATCATATATCATTTCCTACGTTACCTGCGAGTATAACCGTTCAAATAGGTTAATAACGAGGACAACAAATACACTTATGTAACTAAATAACTTTGTTGATATGAGTTGGAAAATCTATATATATATATTTCTCTATTTCTATGGAAATTTATCCCTTTCCGAACCCATTGTATAAAAAAATTTAATCAACGTGTGGTTGCCAGTGATCTCAGAAGATCATTGGATATGAGTTTAAGGGTCATAACCTTTCTCAGCTCACTGGATGCATCAAAATATGCTAACAGGTGTTAATGAAATTGACAACTTTATGGAAAGTGGAAGGCACTCGAAGGGGATTTTAGTTTAGCAAAAAAGGAAAATTTATTTTTTAATCATTAGAGAAACAGATTCTTACATAGTTACTCGTGGATTATCGGATTTATCCAATCTCGATAGTTAAATTATAAATTTTAAAGTTCTCGCCGAGGCTCGGACTTTAAAATTGATAATTTAACTATCTCGATTGGATAAATCCGATAATCCACTGGTATCAATGTAAGAATCTATATATATATATATATATACAAGTCTAAATTGAAAACAACGTTCAAACCTATGATTGCGTTGGATAAAAACCGCAATTTGTATATGTGTGCATGTAAAACAAATTTCTTGGTAGAGGGGACTAAATACAGCACAAACAACATTTTCCAAAAGACCAAACAAGTGAAAATGTATATTTTAAGAAAACGCATCTGACTAACAGGTCGAACAACGGATGTTCTTAAACCCTGCTGACTGCAATTGGCGATTGCCAAATAAAGTGTTCACCAGATGTAACAAAATGGATCTTAATATTAATTTAATACCAAGCAGAAAACAATAAACTTGCGGAAAAGATGATATACCACAAACATGAGGTGCAAAAATTTGTACACCATATCCGGATTTCGACAATTAATGTCTCTTCAGTGATGTTAGGGATCGAAACGGTATTTGGAAGGCCATATAGTTTACCTCAATTTAGGATAGAGTCTTGAATTTTAAAGAGTCGAAAAAGGATGAACGGATCATATAAACCCGAAGGAAAATATAATACAAGCCCAAACGAAAAAATATAAACAAGTCTAAATTGAAAACAACGTTCAAACCTATGATTTCGTTGGATAAAAACCGCAATTTTTATACGTGTGCATGCATGCAAAACAAATTTCTTGGTAAAGGGGTCTAAATACAGCACAAACAACATTTTCCAAAAGACCAAACAAGTGAAAAAGTATATTTTAACAAAACGCCTTTGACTAATATATATATGCTTTGACGAAACGATATAAAAAAAATCGATCCCAAATATTTTTTTAGCATCAGATCTGCGTAAAATTGCCTTTCAAATACAAATTATATATTGAGATTTGTGTAACAATGAAAAAGTGAACGATACAACCACAGTTTTCGACAATCTGGATGGGATTTACAGAATGAATATAGAGAATAATAGGGCAAACAGTGCAGAATAAAGAGCAAAAAAAAAAAATAGGCAAACAAAAAAAAAAGAATAGAGAATAAAGGAAAAAATAAATATAGAATAGAGAAAAATGGTATAAAAAATAAAGACATTGTCGAACCGACTTCCATAGAAAGGCAGGCTGAAAGTAACGATTTATGAAATAGGGATATCTTCCATAGAGACCGTACTTTCACAGCAACTACTATTAATTAACTAACTATGAAGCCGAGACATCTTCCCTTAAGTTAGTAATTTCGAGAAAAATTTAGTCAATGGGGCATTAGACCTATCAATTTCAATCTGCTAGTAGCGTATAGTTAATGACCGTAAAATGACCTCTAGGTGTCTTGGTTTTTATACCACTGGATTGCTATCTCATTGGCATATTCCAACCCATCATTTCTACTTTCACAATACATATAAAAAAATATGAAGATGTGGTATGGTTACCGTCACTGAGACAACTATCCATAGACAATGATCAACAATGCTGTAAACAATTACATATCACCTTACGGCCTTCAACAATGGGTAAAATCCATACCGTATAGTAAGCTATGTTAAAGGCTCCGCTGTGAAATAAAAAATGAAACAATTCAAAAGAAAAAAAAACCAATGGCCTGATTTGTACTACAAAAATGAACGGAAAAAAATATGGCATGCAGACATAAACCAATGACACTTAACTACTGGATTACTGTCTGGTTCCTAGCTTGGGACAGACACATAACAAATATAGCGAGGCTGAATATGAACTTGTTCTCCTGCATACAAACCTTTCCAAAGTCATTTTGCATCGTTATATTTATCCTCCTCATTATAATAAAGTGTTTCCGTTGTAAATCATTTCATGTGGTTTTGTGTGTGTTTTTTGGGGTGTTTTGTGATGTTTTTTGTTTGTTTGTTTGTTTGTTAATGTTTGTTTTGTTTTGTTTTTGTTTTGTTTTTGTTTTTTTGTTTTTTGTTTTTTTTTGTTTTTATTTTTGTTTTTTTGGGGGGTTTTCGATATATTGGTGTTGAAAAACACTGTACATGAAGAAAGCTCAATATGCAATGTGCAAGGTATTTGATTGAGCCAATGTAGCACCCATTGCTGAGCATAGAAATTATTCTCAACGAAATAAAACTTTTTAAAAACAATTAAAATATTTGATTGACAAATTTCTAGAATGAATTGATATTAAAATAATGACAAAACGAAATAAAATATTAATATGTTAGGATATATAATATCTAAAATAACCACATATCAATTTGTTTTAATAACAATGTAATTCACCCATCAGAAATCACACTGAGATTATAACACTGAATTTCTGATATGTTATAAAAAATTAGGAGATATAGTATTATGACCAATGAGACAACCACCCACCTAGCTAAGACCGAAAGATAATTATTAACTTTATATGTGTATATCTAATATAAATAAATCTTAATCTTTGCTTGATATTGTTTCCAATATGTTCGTTTTTTTTTTATTCAACTCAAATAAAGTAAATAGATATAGGAAGATGTGGTATGAGTGCCAATGAGACAACTCTCCATCCAAGTTACAATTTATAAAAGTAAACCATTATAGGTCAAGGTACGGCCTTCAACACGGAGCATTGGCTCACACCGAACAGCAAGCTATAAAGGGCCCCAAAAAATTACTAGTGTAAAACCATTCAAACGGAAAAACCAACGGTCTAATCTATATAAAAACGAGAAACGAGATACACGTATGAACTACATAAACAGACGACAACTACTGTAATCAGATTCCTGACTTAGGACAGGTGCAAACATTTGCAGCGGGATTAAACGGTTTAATGGTACCAAACCTTCTCCCTTTTCTGAAACAATAGTATAACATCACAACATAGAAAAAACATACTATAAAATATCAATTGGAAGGCTTAACTCAATCAAAAAACGTAAATTAACACACAATGAACGAATAAATTTGACCTGTGACACCTGAATGCAAATACACAGTTAATAAAAAATTACAAGGGATAAATAATTAAAGTCAAAAGTAAATAAACAGGTTTAAACAAAGTTAAAGTATGTTATCACTGTGAAATTTCAAACAATTTATAGAAAATCATCATTTTTGAAGAAACCTGCGTCACATTATACACAGGTAAATGAAAATAATTGTGTTGTTATGTATACTTCTTCTTCTGTGTGTATAAAATCTTCCGTTTAGGAATACCAAGAAATTTCTTTAATATCAATAAAACTAATCTAACACTTGGTACATATGGGGTGAATATCAACAATAAAAATATACAATTAGTGCTAGATAAAACTTCCTGTACAGGTCCAAGAATAGCATCTGAGGAAAAATTAAATAATTTTGATGTTCATAGTACGAAGAAGTGAAAATTTGTAGTAATTAAATACCAAATAATCAAAGCTGGTATATAGACAAGATCCATGTTAACATTAAATAACAAAAAAGCATTACAAATAGTATCAACAGGTCAAATTAAAAAGAAAGTACGATTTGAGGGTACTCGCAGTTACTGACAGCTAGTTCAAAGCCAAAACAATTAATAATAAAAAATCATGCATCAGAGACTAAAATCAACTAAAATACATCCCAGGGATTTAGTATTTTAACGTCATGAACAGTCAAAGAAGACATGACTTGTGCAATGCCAAAAATAAATGTATCGACAGGTAGTATGATAGTTAGGAGTGACTTCTTTATAGATAAAAATGAACGTGTGTGTGTCTCTATACATCCCGTTTGAAAAGAAAATACATATTTAGTTATGATTTTATTTGCTATTGACAAAATCGATATTAGTGCCAATGTAAACTATATTCAGAGATCTAATTACAACATTGGTACGATAACCCTTACTAATAAGTTTGTTTAAAGGTTCGATGAGTTTACACGGATCACATAATGATTTCCGCGCTTTAAGTACAATATTACCATAAAATTTAGGATGTGAAATACCATTTTTAATAAGTTTTCTACAGTTACAGCCAAATTTACTAATCAAATCTTTGTATCTATGAAAGAATTTAGTAAAAGTTTTAAGTAATTTATGGTAACGAAATCCCTGACTTAATAATTTACCAGTGATGCATTGATTACGTTCGTTAAAATCTATGACATCACTACACACACGGGCATACCGAACGAGTTGGGATATATAAACACCGTATGATGGAGCCAAAGGCACATCGCCGTCAATAAGGAAAATTAACAATAGGGAATGAAAAATCGTCTCTTTTGTCGTAAATTTTAGTATGGAGTTTCCCTTTAGAAATTGAAATGTCTAAATCTAGAAAAGGACAACTGCTGCTGTTTATGTTAGATTTAGTTAAATTAAGTTCTTTTGGGTAAATTTCGGTAGTATATTTAGAGAACTCTGGATTATTTAACGAAAAAATATCATCCAGATAACGGTAGGTATTGTTGAATGTATCAACCAAATGTAACAATGATGTGTCTCTACTGAGTTTGGTCATAAACTGAGATTCATAGCAATACAGGAATAAATCTGCTATTAAAGGGGCGCAGTTAGTGCCCATATGAATACCTACTACCTGACGATACACTTTATCGCCGAAACGTA